TCAAGTGACTTTAACTCAGCCAGCATTGCCTCCTTCCACTTTGGCCAATCACTCCTACGTCGACATTCTTCTACAGTTCTTGGTTCAACATCATTTTCATCAGACACGATGTCGATTGCGATGGAATTTGCAAATGTTTCATTAACGATAACATCTTTCCTATTCCACTGAGTCTTTGTAGAGACGTAATTCATTGAAATTTCATTGTTATCAATGTTTTGAACATCTTGTTCATTCCCCGTAGGGTTGTCTTCTTGTTCGTCCCCTTTTGGATTATCATCATTTTCTTTACTTTCATCCACATTTGGTTTTTCTTGACCTTCTGACGGGGGAACATCATTAGTCTCATTTTCTATTCCATCCAATCTTTTCAATTTTCTTGGCTTAGAATCTTTTGAACCAAGTGGTCTTCCACGCTTTCTGCGTGCCTGAGATTCATTTTCTATGGCCTTATTACCAGTTGGGATTTCAATACGTGCAGGGGCATTTTCTGCTGGTATATGTGATTTTGTCACCTTCTTTGTGTCTACAAATGCATCAGGCAATTGATTTGCAACACTTTGTAAATGAACAATTTTCTTAACTTCTTGTTCACACATATTTGTTCGTGGGTCTAACATCAACATTTGTGTTGCATTCCAAATGAGTTCAATTTCTTTCTTACGTGGGTCCACTTTCTCTCCCCCTAAGGCTGGGAATACTGTTTCATTAAAGTGACAGTCCGCAAATCTAGCCGTAAATAAGTCACCAGTCAATGGTTCAAGATATTTAATTATAGAGGGGGATTCAAACCCGACATAAATTCCCAGCCTTCTTTGTGGACCCATTTTTGTTTGTTGGGGTGGAGCAATGGGAACATATACAGCACAACCAAAGATTTTTAGATGTGAGATACTTGGTTCTCGACCACAAACAAGTTGTAGTGGTGAGAATTTATGATAAGTTGTAGGTCTCAATCTAATTAGCGCTGCTGCATGTATTATAGCATGTCCCCAAGCAGATGATGGCAATCTTGACCTCATTAATAATGGTCTTGCAATCAATTGTAATCTCTTAATTAGTGATTCAGCTAGACCATTTTGTGTATGGACATGAGCTACTGGATGTTCAACATCAATTCCAATTGACATACAATAATCATTAAATGTTTGGGATGTAAATTCCCCAGCATTGTCAAGTCTTATTTTCTTTATTGTATGATCCGGGAATTGTGCTCTTAATTTGATGATTTGGGCAAGTAATTTTGCAAAGGCAACATTTCTACTTGAAAGTAGACTAACATGTGACCATCGTGTAGAGGCATCAATTAAAACCATGAAATATCGAAATGGTCCACATGCTGGATTAATTGGCCCACATATGTCTCCCTGAATTCTTTCCAAGAATTTTGGAGATTCAGTAGCAATTTTGTTCATAGATGGCCTTATTATTAATTTGCCAAGTGAGCATGCAGAGCATGTTAATTCATCTGATCGGGGAATTTTGACATTTCTTATTGAATGTCCAACTGAATGTGCTATTATTCTTTGCATCATCCCAGTTGCTGGATGTCCCAAACGATCATGCCATAAAATAGTCAAATGTTTGTCATCTAACTTCTGGTTAGATACCATATTGATTTCCACGGGTCGTATGTTTATACGATATAACCCTGAAGAGTATGCTGGCAATTTCTCATATATATGTTTCTTGCCATGTTTTTCTGCCGTGAGGCATATATACTCTTTTTGATCTGTTGTCATTGTTTCTAGATGATAGCCATTTTGGCGTACATCTTTAAAGCTTATGAGATTTCTTCGAGATTTACTCGAATATAAAGCATTATTGATTATTAATTTTGTTCCATTTGGAAGCATTATACAAGCCTTTCCAGATCCTTCAATTAATTTAGCTGACCCGGAAATGGTGTTTACATTTGCTTGAAACAACTTTAGTTGTGAAAAATAATTTCTATCTTTTAAGATAGTGTGCGTTGTTCCACTGTCCAAAAGGCATTGATGTTCGGAACTAACTTCAGGTAGATCCATATCTTCATAAAATAAATTTGAGATTAGTTTAGAATAATATCATACAAACTTTTATTGATGATATTAAAATACAGGGAACTAAGAAAATACATTAAAACATAGCATATGTTACATTAGTAGATGAGAAACCTAAGTATTGTTGTTTTCTACAAGAATGAAATCATTTCCAATTTCAACATTATCCATGAAATAATCAGACACATCAAGGCTGGGACAAGGAGCATTTTCCTCATTAACATAATTTGCTTCTGCATTTTTCTCTTTGCCTTTTACAGAAGCCTGGTAAAGAGGTCTACCAAATGTTTGGCCGTTCGACAAGTACGTCCCCAATGTCCTATCATGCCACATCTGTAACATGTGTCTTTTCCTTTCGAAGGAGTTTGTTTGTGGCTTCCAGATAACTGTCCCTTCTGTTTTTCAAAATTTTTGAAATTACTGTTTCTTTGAAAATTATTTCTACCACGACCACGGCCGCGTCCGCGATAATTCCCACGGCCTCTTCCACGGCCATTGTAATTTCCACGTCCACCTCTTCTTGTAGCATTTGACTCGGGTGGATTGGAATTTGTTGCATTTGCCTCATGATGAGTGGCCAAAGACCCAGTTGGTCTGAGATTATGATTTTTCAACAAAAGATCGCTATTTTGTTCCGCAACAAGCAATACACTCATTAATTCATTAAACTTCTTAAAACCTCTTTCACGATATTGTTCTTGCAACAGTATGTTGCTTGCATGAAAGGTAGTGAGTGTTTTTTCAATCATTTGTTCATCGGTGACTGGATGATCACAGTATCTCAATATAGATACTATCTCATGTATGGTTGAATTGTAATCTATTACAGATTTGAAATCCTGGAACCGTAAATTTGTCCAGTCAAATAATGCCTTAGGAAGGAGCACCCTTTTGTGGTGTCCAAATCTTTCAGTAAGGCAGTCCCATAATTCTTTGGGATCTTCAACCATCATGTACTCAGTTTTAAGGCCTTCATGTAAATGATGCCTTAGTAACACTAAGGCTTTTGCCTTTTCTTGTTCTGTAATGGGTTTTTCAACCGTCATTGCAGAAGTGGTAGTATCAGTTGTTTGACCAGGGGGACTTTTATTTTCTTTAACAGTGTGCTCCAAGCCTTGAGCTTTCAAATTCATCATTGCGTCCACTTTCCATTCCAGAAATTTCTTTCCAGATAAATCAAAGATGCTGAACTGTCTTTTCATAAGGTCTCCCATTTTAGCTACAACAAATTTCGTGATAATTAGATTATAATAACAAATTATATGTACAACTCACATGTTTAGTTCTTCCATATTTATATTTAAGTTAATAAGACACGTGAAAATTAAATTTAATAATAATAAACCATAAGTAATATAGTCTTTTCTCCCCCTTGGTTTATTATTGTGAGTAATTATATGATTAGACAAAAATTAATCATGTTAGTTGCAAAAAAAAAACAGCAAAACGACAACAATGACAGTAGTAACAATAATTATAATGATAACGGTAATATTATACAATGATGATTAATAACAACAAACATACATAATAAAACAAAAACAAGCTTTTAATATACTAAAACGACAAAATAAGTGAGTTTTACTTATACATAATGACAAAAATTAATATTGCTACTAATAAAATTACAAGCGCCGTAATTAGAAGGAAATATTGTTTTATCTTCATTAATCTTCCTCAAAAGTGAAGTTGTGGGTGTTTTGGTTGTCGTCGTCGGGGAACATATCGGAGAAGAAGGGGGTGAAAAAAAAAATTTAGGTGATTTTTAGATAAAAAGTGGGAAGAGATAAAGGATTTGTGGTGAAATTGGGGGAAAATCCGTCTTTTATAGAGGTAGGTTTATCCGAGACTGTTCTGTACAACTGTAAAAATATCATATAACAATCTAATATATTGACAAAAATTATGGTCTAAATATATATATTTATAATTGTAAAAGGTTATCACACTGGGAATGCAAGCCATAGTGGTCCGAGAGCCCTAATATCTATAAAAGATCATGGGTTCGAAAACGGAAAGAAACACAAAAAGTATGTAAAAGTAAGAAAAATAATAAGTATAAAAAGGCTGCATCTTTTTGTTAATCTAGTTAATAATAATATGCATGCAAAGCAACTACTACTTTCACCGTTATTTTTGAGGTATATATAATACAGTAAATGTTTGAGTTTCTGGTATAGATGATCCCAAATATGGGCAACTATAGAGCATACTCCTCGAAATATTTAGAAGTAGATAGTATTATTTGTTATAAATTTTTAGAAGTAGGTATAAATATACCTGGCTGAAAACTGATGCTGATAACGTGTTAAAAATATTTTACTGATGGTAAGATATTTATCAGTGAAGGGATGAAGATAGGAAGTAAGTAGTAGAATGGTAGGAAAACTCTTTTCTTGTTTTTCAACTTAAGTTCACAATACGTGAACTTTCATTTATATAGCCAAAATAATTGAATACAATAATATACATTATTGTACTTTATACAAATTATTGTACTTAGTAAAGTCTTCATTGACTTTAATTACCACATGTGAAGTTCAATTCAATCATGTTTCTCAACATATATCATTTTTTTTTTGGTTGTCCTACCATGTCGGAACCTTTCATTGGTCCTCTCCGCCCGAGTTAGAGGGCTAGGTACTCTAGATGAGGGAAGAAAGGTAAGGGAATACCTACCCCAAAGTGCTTCTAGTGGAATTTGATCTCACAAACTTAAGTTTGGATTGTGACCAAGCTATGCTTGATCAAAACGAAAGATCAATTTGTAAATACAATATATCAAATATTGTACGATATCTTACGCATATTGCAAGAATTTACATCTTTTTAAAAATACGGTATATTAATTTGTTGTTGATACAAGGACGATTTCCGTTTAATTCATCTGAATATCTAATTGAAATTGAACCATTGATAACCTTTGCCATTCTTTGCCAATGAACAAACAATACTCCACCAATACTAAACCCAAAATACTTGACTAATCCCATCATCTAATCATGGGGGAAATCACTACAAAAATATAATTTTATTAACGAAAAAAATAAAGTTAAAAATTCCGAATAAATTTGACAATTATCACTCTTTTCCTTTTAACATGAACCACATATCAGTCAGGTGAATTGCTAAACATCGCCCGCAAATCTCCACATAAAGCCCACAAATTTGAAATGAAATGACATTTTTGCCCTCAACATCAAAAACACACTTTTATCTTAAAACACATTGTTATGGCTAATAAACGGGAAGTGGCGGCACCGGAGGCGGGAGGCGGTTTCGCGGTGGAAGTAAACAAAGTCGCCGGATCGCGAAGGAGCCGTGGTGGCAGCGCCCCACCCAGCCGCCACAACCAAGGCTACTGGCGCTTGGCCAGGACGCCACCGCCACGGTGGCGGCGTCCACAGAAGACGCCACCGCCACGGTGGCGGCGTCCACAGAAGACGCCACCACCGTGGCTAAGGCGTCCTGCCCAGGCGCCGCCACCGTGGCGGTGGCGTCCTGGCCAGGCGCCAGTAGCCTTTTTTTTTATTTTTTTTTTCAAATTTTTTTTAATTTTTTTTTTTCAATTTTTTTTTCCTATTTTTTTTTTTAAAAATGTATTTTGTTTTTTGGATTTTCTTTACAATTTTTTTCTTTATTATGTTTTTGTTTCCTAAATTTTTTTATTATTTTGGTTTTTTCTTTCTAATTTTGTTTATTTTTTGAATTTACTAAAGCATATTTTCAAAATAAATTAATATTTTTTTTTGTTTTTTTTAAAAAAATTTCAAATTTATCAAAATTCAAACAAAAAAAAAAACCAAAACGAAAAAAAAAGTTTAAAAAAAAAATATACCGAGGAGGTGGCGCCTGGCCAGGACGCCACCACCGTGGCTGGGGCGCCTGGCCAGGACGCCGCCACCATGGTAGTGGCGAACTTGCCAACCGCCACTGCCATGGTGGCGGCGTCCTGGCCAGGCGCCCCAGCCATGGTGGCGGCGTCCTGGCCAGGCGCCACCTCCACGGTGGCGGCGTCCCGGCCAGACGTTCGCCGCCAAAACTTGATTTTTAACCACTTCGGACCTCGTTTTCCGACGACGACGGCGGCTCTTTGGTGTCCCTCGACGATCCGGCGCTGTTCCACATTTTGGGTGAGAGAAAATTTCGTTTTAGGTTAAAATTAGAACAAGGGCAAAGTTGTAAAAATTTTATAAATTGTGGGCTTTATGTAGAAAAACGCGGGCGATGTTTAACAAGTCCCATCAGTCAGTCAGTCAGTCACTACTCCCTCTTCACCACCTTCTTTCTTGCATACCACCATAGTTAATGGTTTATAAATTACTCATTTCTTGTATACATTTTTTTTGGTATCAATCAGGAAAATGGGAGTTTGCCATTTATCCCTTGATTCAATCTTACCATGGAAATTGCTTCAAAATTCTACCAAACAAACCCATTCATATAACAAACTAATACCCACTTCACCATTAACAAAGATGATTAATCAACACAATCAAACTAAAATCTTGAGCATCAATCATTCTTCCTCTCCTGGTTCCCAGATAACTACAACAAATTCTGGGTATCATTCAAATTCTACTGATTTTGATCCTATTTTGTTATTTTGTGCTGAAAATGGTTATGTTGAAGAAGCTCAGATGTTATGGGATGAAACCCTAAACAGTTCTTTTACTCCTAGTTTTCATTTAGTTTCATCTATTATTACTGCTTGTGCAAAAACTGGCCATTTTGATCTTATTTCTGATATTTTGACTCAAATTAAGAATAGAAGCTTTAGCTGGTTGCCACAGGTTTATGCTCTTGCAATCAAATGTTTTGGGGCCGGGGGCCGGCTTGATTGTATGGAACAGACATTGAATGATATGGTTTCAATGGGTTTTCGAGTCGATTCTGTAACTGGAAATGCTTATGTAGTTTATTACAGTATGTTTGGTTCTTTGGCAGAAATGGAATTTGCATATGGTAGGCTAAAGAAGTCTAGAATTATCCTAGAAGAAGAAGGAATTCGCGGTGTTTCTATGGCATATATTAAGGGAAATAAGTTTTATGCATTAGGGAAGTTCTTGAAAGATGTGGGTTTAGGTAGGAGGAATGTGGGAAATCTGTTGTGGAACCTTTTGTTGCTTTCTTATGCTGCTAGATTTAAGATGAAGAGTTTGCAAAGGGAATTTTTGGCAATGTTAGAAGCAGGATTTCGGCCTGATCTTACGACGTTTAACATTAGAGCTTTGGCCTTTTCCAAGATGAATTTGTTTTGGGATCTTCATCTAAGTCTTGATCATATGAGGCATGAAAATGTTGTTCCTGATCTTGTAACTTATGGTTGTTTGGTTGATGCTTATATGGATAAACGGATGGGAAGAAACTTGGATTTCGCATTGAAAAAGATGATAAACTTAGATGAGGCTCCATCTGTTGCAACTGAATCGTTTGTGTTTGAGGCGATGGGAAAGGGTGAATTTCATATGAACTCAGAGGCCTTTATGGAGTTCAATAGGGATAAAAGATGGACTTACAGAAAGCTTATTGGAGTACATCTGAAGAAACAACATCGGAGTAATCAAATATTCTGGAATTACTGATCAAACATGTAATTTCTGTTACCAAAAATCAACTAGTATTATCTTTCGCTTGGTAATTTTAGCTTGCATAGTTGTATGTATAATGTTTGTGTATAAAACTTGACTTACCAAATCAACAACTATACTGTTTTATTGTATGAATCAGTTATTATCATCTTTCGTTCAGTAACTTCAGCTTGTTGTATGTATTACTAGTAATGTATAAACGACTTCAGCTTGTTGTATGTATTACTAGTAATGTATAAACAACTTCAGCTTGTTGTATGTATTACTAGTAATGTATAAACAACTTCAGCTTGTACATAAGTTTTATTGTATGAATCAGTATTATCATCTTTCATTCAGTAACTTCAGCTTATAGTTGTATGCATTACTGGTTATGTATAAACAACTTCAGCTTGTACATAGCTTAATTGTATGAATCAGTATATCATCTTTCGTTCAGTAACTTCAGCTTGTATGTATTACTGGTTGTGTATAATCAACAAGTATTATCTACTTATATAACATGTAATACTGTAATGGACTGATGGGTCTTAGAATGTATACTGTTTTAAACGAGGGATTAGATTTGGAACAATGTGATGACTAATTCTAGATGACTAGTATCATTGTTCATTGGTGAAAATAAACACAAAGCAGAATAACTCAAGACAGAGAAGATAATGCAGAATATCAGTTTCATTAAACAAATCTGCTGTGCAAAATAACAATTCAGAAAGTTTCCCACAATCAATCATAATATAATACAGAATGATTAATTCATATCAATCCACATTATTTTTTGGTTTTCCAACTCTAATCACCAAAAACCTAGAAAATGTTTCATAACCAAACCCCAAAATCAGAGCATTCATCCAGAAAGTTAGCCACTTTCTCAGAAACATGTAAAAAACTAAACAATCCACTGAAATTCTCAATCATTCTTCATCCAGAAAACGGACATGCTTCCCTTTTGGAGTTGGCAATCCCTTCAAGCGAAGCGCTTCAGTCGAATCAAACTCTTCAAATTCCTCAACCAATTCATCATCACTGTTATACACAAATCTTTTGTGTTTTCCCATGAATTTTGGCCCTTTTTTCTCTCCTTCCATACTCATATTGCTTATTCCATCACACAATTCATCAAGAAAAGGCACTTTCTCTGCTTCTCCTTCTTCCTCATCATAATACTCGTCATTCTCAGCAACTTCATCAACATCTTGATTCACTTCATCCTCATCTTCGTCGTCGCCTCGAGTACTTGCATTCACTTGGATAGACCAAACTGAAGCAGCATCATCATCAAATGAATCCAGTTTGTCTTGGCTTGCTTCACTCTTTACTTGGTATGTCACCACAGATGAACAGTCTGATGAGCAGTCTGATTTATCAGAAAATTCCAGAAACAATGCCCTTGATATCATCACATCTTTCTCACAGTCTGTTTCATTCTCTTCTTGCTTCTTCTCATCAATTTTCCCACTCACCACCTAAAAACATATACAAATTCAGATTAAAGACCAGAATTTTAAGCAAACCCATTAAAACAAACCAATCTAAATGAACTAATCAAAATAAATAAATAAAATAAAAAATCAAGTAATTTCCATCAAAAATTGACAAGAACCCAGATAGAACTAATAAAATTACAAATTACAAACCCCAATACAAGAAACAACCATAGAATCTGATATACATTGAAATTGACAAGAAAAACATATTCAAATCCACATTATACCCCCAGAAAAGTTCAATTTTTTAATTTTATTTATTTTATTTGCAAATCCACATTAAATCCACATTATTCTATTTAATTAATTAATCAATATCAGAACAAAATGATCATGTAAACCCCATCAAAATTTGGCAAGAACCCAATGAAAAATAATCAATGTCACATTTAAACAAATTTTTATTTTTTCAATATTACAATCTCCAAAACAAGAATTAACAATAAAATCATTACAATAAATTGACAATAAGAACAAGAAAATAAGCATACCAGAGGCAATTTGAGTTGATCTTCAATTGGAGGTTCAGAAACAGAGCTCAACAAATCAATTTCCTCAAAAGCAGAGAAATTCAGAACTTGTGGAGTATTCACCGGAGTCGGAGCAACAAGTCCTGCCGGAGAATTAAAGATAGCTTTAAACCCGGCATTGCGAACCGGACCACAGTTTTCGAGACAAAACTTAGATATCTCAGCTTCTTCTTCAACCTTTTGCAACAGATTCTTGACTTGACCTCTGAGCAGAGCTTCCCCTGATCCAGGAGTTTTCTTGCAAGCATTGCTCCTCCTCTGTTTTGAGAAAGATGAAATTGGGGTCCCATTTAAGCTTCCGCTTGCTAATCCAACTATTGGGGAATCATTTGTTATATCAATCAAAACAGATCGATCTTGTTTCTTAGTTCTTTGCCTTGATTTTGAGATACTCTTTTCAGATTCTTCAATTTTCTCTGAAAATGCTCGAGATTTCACAAAATTAGTCAAATCGAAATGAATTTACCAAAATTAGAGAAACCCAGAAGATAAATAAATAAAATTAATTGAATTTTAAAAATTGATCAATTGAAAAGGGGTTAATCGCAAAAAAAAAAAAAACAAGAACCCAGAAATTAATCAAAACCCAGAAAAATTTAACAGAAATTACTTGATGTTTTGTTGTTGTTGTTGCTGGTTTCACTATTTGCTAAAGCAATAGCCTGAGACCTTGTGATTCTCCTGTTTGATGATGAAGGGGTCTCCATTGAATTGGGGGAATTAGAGAATTAGGGTTTTGCAGAAAGTTGAGATTTTTGATCGAATGTCAATCGGATTATAGAGAGAGAAAAGAAAAGAGCGTTGAAGATTGAGAGAAGATGAAGACAAATGAAGAAGAGCCGAAATGAGGAGGTTTTAAAGTGGGGAATTTGACCGTTGGTGTGATAATCTGGAATTAGGATAGAACTAGCCGTTAGGGTTTATGATGATATCATACCTTAATTATTTTGTTATTGTAATATTGGAGTTCATTGGTTGTTGTTGGGCTCCTGCTTAAAATAAACTATGCTTAGTGGCCCAGTTGGAAAGTGGGCCTTTTTATTGGATCTTTTTTTTTTTCTTTTGCTAATAAATTGTTTAACTACTCAATGTGCCTTACCTACACAAATGATCCATTGAAAAATGTACAAAACTAAAGCTCATACTTTGTTAGTGAACCAAGTAGTGAATGACCACTTCTTTTTCTTTTTTTCAAGTCTGAAAAGGTTTGAAATTGTTCAAGAACTGAAGGCTATTTCATGCTTTTGGTCCCAATTTCGGGGGTTTTGAGACTTGGTGTCGAAAAATGTCGAGTTTATAAGGGATGCATCTCAAGGTGATACAATGTTGTTTGAAACCATATATGACCACGTGTCAGACATATAAAGGCCCATTAATTAAGGTTAGTGTGTACAAAAACAACTAAATTGACTGGTTAGAGGCAAAGTAGATGATTTCAACCACGCAAATGGTCTCACAAGGTGTCATGGAGTCCATGGGAAGAATCCAAAACAATTTTATTCACAAGTCCAAAATTTTATAAAAAAAAATCCGAAATTGAAGGCATTAATACAAGAAATCGAACCAATTTTGTAGGTTTCAGGACTCAGTGTCGAAAAATCTCAAAATAGTACAGGGTGCATATATGGGTCATGCACTGTTGTTTGGAACTATAAATGACCACTGGTCTATAATATAAAAACTTATAATGGCCTTGGGTAAATGAAGAGGAGGCATAAGTTATAAACGAGTAAATTGAGTATTTAAAGACAAAATGGACAGTTTCATCCATCCATAATGAACACTCAGAGTGTTGAAGGTTTATGAGAAGTGCCCAGCTTTTCTCATTCTCTTTCAAATTCAATGTTTTGGTTTGACGGACGACCAATTAGATCTTCATTATCAACATATATAAATGATAATAAAAAAAAATAATGGTTTTTCAGAATTCATAAATTGAAATGATTTCAATAGATAATTAGATACTCATATGATTATATTCAATGTTATGACTTGGCATATAAACTATAAGTACTGGTCAAAGTACTGCAAAAGTCAATTAGAGGTATTTATTTTATAACGAAAGGACTATAAAGTTTTTTTAAAAAAAAAAAAGTTAAAAATAGCTATTTGGATTTGGCCAAAGTCCATTTAATTATAATATTTCCTAATGGATCTTGCTAACGAGCGTCCCAGGGCATTAGATAAAAATGCATGACAAAATCACACTTCGTTCGGTGTAATTAATGTTAGTTTTACGTTTATATTTTGCACTTTTAATTCTCTTATTATCTAATACCCCTGGGGTGCTCATTGGCTTTAGCCTTCATAAATTATGATATTTCAAAGAGGCATGACCACGGGACCATACAATGCCACAAATGGTACTAGGTATAATATTAGATTGTTAGCATTTCTACAGAGTATTATTTTTATTTTTTCCTCATTAGAATTTATAGATCAAGATGATTTTCTTTTTTTATTAATATAATTATTAGTGAATTGATGTATTTATTGACGATCCTTGGTATCACACTATCACAGCAGATCAACTATTATAGTAAATTACACCGCAAGATCGCATCTCTCAATTAGAAATCTTGTCAATTTGACATCAAGAGGATAGATATGGCCAAACCATCTTCAATGAATAATGAAAACACAACATCTAACCAAACAAATCAAAGTGAAGAAACAACTTTAGTCGATGAAGAAGAAGTTGAACAACTTAAACAATGCCTTCCTAAGGCAAATTTTATGGGTAGTAACAAGGTCCAACTCATACAAATTCAAGGTTTTTGGTATCCTCTTTCTATTTTCTCTAATATTCTCACTTGCCAAAGACACTTCCTAGCTCAAGACACCGATCTTGTAGTGGCTAGCTTCCCTAAAACCGGCACCACAGGTTAAAATCTCTACTCTTTTCTATTGTCAATCGAAATGTTCACCCTCTCAGCCAGAGTCCTTTGCTTTCTCACAATCCACATGAACTTGTATATGATTTAGAAACTGGTGTTTATGGTAGTATTAGTACAAAGCTTCCACGCCCTCATCAACTTAACCAACTCCCTTCACCACGACTTCTCTATTCTCACATGCCTTACCCGACCTGAATCCGAGAATGACCTGACTTGAAAATGGTCCAACCTGATTATAACTCGCAAATTATTTACTTGAACAGAACCCGACTTGAACCCGAGAATGACCCGACTTGAAAATGACCCGACCTGATTATAACCCGCAAATTATAGACTTGAACCAAACCCGACTCAAACCCGAGAATTACCCGACCTGATTATAAACCGCAAATTATTGACTTGAACCGAACCCGACTCGAACCTGAGAATTACCCTAATCCGTTTTAACCCGTGAAAATCCAAATAAAACCCGACATATCGTTCACCCGACCCGAATGTAACCCGAACTGTTATTAACCCGACCCAAACCCGATAAGAAGTATGACCCGACTTGACCGACTAAAGCATGACCCATCCAAAACCCGACCCGCATAGGTTATGGAATTTAATCCAAATTGACCCGACCCGATTTGACCCAACCCACTCTTACCGACCCAAACCCGACTCGTTTACCATAATTGACAGCTCTACCCGAAACCTCAAAAATTTCTCAAAAAGCATGGATATTAGTCTTCAATTTCGGAATTTTTTGACTTTTTTTCACCCGGAAATAAAAATTGCAAAAATTGTTTACCATGGTCCCTAATACCCTCCGGGAGCCTAATTGGCTGGGTGAAACCATCCAATTTGCCTTTAAACGACCAATTTACCGGTTTAAAACTTGCATCGATTTCATTAACTTTTAGCAATAGCGCAAGAAAATAGGTAAAACAGGGTACAAATGTACAATTAAAAGAAGTTAGAGTGTTATTGGGAAGGGGGGACAATTAATGATACGATGGTAGTAGGTAAGTGTAACGGAAGGAGCAAAAACGGCCAAGTAGGCTTTGGTAGGTACGCTATTTGACGCTGAGATTCCCAAATGAATATCATCGATTGAAAGATAGGCAGCCAGCACTGTACAGTAGAATTTATGTACACTTTAACAAAGTACTCGTAAAATAATTGTTTAAAATTTAGATATAGATAAAATATACAGAGTACTAAGTTGTTTAAAGTGGTGTATCTGTAACACAAATAATTTCATAAATTATTACAAAGTGTTTTTTTAAAATCATGTACAAGTCAAAGTGTTACATTTAAGATGACGGAAGAAAGGAATTTTTCTCACTTACATACTCATTTGCTCTATCGATTTCTCTAGTCAATAATCGTGTGCACCCATATACTTTATAATTTAAATTTAAAAAAAAAAAATTTGTAACAATTTTTTTTTTAAGTCAGAGAGTTACAAAAAAAAAAAAAAAAAAAAAAAAAAAAAAAAAAAAAAGCGGGTAGTTAGAGTTGAAGCACGAGGCCTTGGTGGTACCGTCAACTTGGGATAGGTAGTTACGTTTCTCTCCTAATATATAGTAGCACAACTATACTACTTATATACTTGTATTATATAAACAAACACACCAAAAAACAAAGAGCTCATAATTCAATTTCAATTCAATAATTCTAGTACAAAAACTCTGTTCAATACAATCTTAGTGTATTAAAGCATTTAATCACTACAAAAATGGGAGAAAGGCCTAAAACTTTGACAGCATTAGAAGGAGAGAAAACTCTAAACCCAAGCTTCGTACGAGACGAAGATGAGCGTCCTAAGGTGGCCTACAACGTTTTTAGCCACGATATTCCCGTCATTTCCCTCGCCGGTATCGATTCCGATAGCGGAGATGAAGAGAAGAGAGCCTCTATTTGTCGTAAAATCGTCGAAGCGTTCGAAGAATGGGGTATATTTCAGATTGTGGATCATGGTATTGAAGGTGATCTTATTGCGGATATGACTCGTTTGGCTCGAGAATTCTTTGCTCTTCCTCCTGAAGAGAAGCTTCGGTTTGATATGTCTGGTGGTAAAAAGGGTGGTTTTATTGTTTCTAGTCATCTTCAGGTAATTCACTTGCTTTTCCTTTTTGTTTTTTCAATCTTAAGATTATGGCACCTAAGCGAGTAACGGAGTCTTTGACTAATGTTAAAAATATAGTCTCATGAGTACTTATTGGAATCGTAATAGATTATTAGTTTTCAGTTGTTATGATTTATACTTACTGATTCTCCATGACTTAAAATTTGTATCGACATATGTGATCAAGAAAAATAAATTACTAATTAAAAATGGAGGGAGTAAGAAAACTGAAGTTGTAGATTATTTTTTATTTTTTTTAGTCAACTAAGTTATGCGTATGTATATTATTTTTATTTTCAAGTCATCTAACAACTGGAGTACTATTTTGCATTTGATTATTTTTAGGAGTAACAAGACCAATTGACTAAAGACTTTAATTAATTAAATTACACATCTATTGATTTTTTATTTTTTTTTATTTTTCTTTTGACGAACATTCTATTGATAACTATAGGCAGATGTTAACAAGCTTAAATCCAAATAATGATTTATTTTTTGAAAGAACCAAATAATGATGTATAATAATCCTCCAATTAGTAAGCATTTGATTAGTTGTGCTAAAAGCCAATACTTTCCTGTCACATTACTAAAAAAGTACACATTTGTGACGAAATTATGATTGTGTGCCAACTTGAGGTTGTGTGGTTACTGGTTGGGGCCTTAGGGGTGATTCTCATAAAGCACGCCCAAATAATCAAATCTTGTCTGCATTATTACTTTTAGCGACTAATATGCTAATTATTGTTTAATAAAAAATTCTTAAGCTGGTTGAATCTTAGATTGAAATGGTCAATAAATTTTCTCAAAATTTGAAGTTTCAACAAGTGCTAGCTAATACCAGGACTTTGACAAATGAATTAAAATTTCTTTGTCAATGTTGGATGTCCTTTTCAAAGAAATATGATGA